AGGACTTAAGAATAATTCTTATCTATCTATCTATCTGAGGGAAAAAGACTCATACAGGTTGTGTTGGTTATTCTCTTTATTTCTCTCAAGTTCTCTTCTTCCTCTCTTTTTTTTCTGCACCCCTTATATACATCATAGGGAAGGGAATAAAAAGTTACATCTGAGGAGGGTCATATTTCATTACTTAGGTAAACTATAAGGAGCAGAGCCATTCGGATAACACACATGAAATAAACTTCAGCTTTCTCATTAGTGGGGCAACTGTGGCTCTGAAGGAATGCACAGCTGCTTCAGTATCTATTAAGGAGATAGCCTATAAAGGGGGTTATAAAGTTAAACTATTTGGCAGCCTAGGAAATAGAGAAATTATGCATTGTATCCTGTATTTATAAGTGTGAATAACATTCTAAACTAACATTTAAAAGTGTCAGTTTTTCTCAGACTTGGAGGCAGCTCAGACATGAAGCAGCCAGTACAGCTGGGAGTGAGTAACCATGGCAACACTTGGCTGTGAAGGCTATAAAGTAGAGGCTGAGGGCACAGTGCCCATGAGATAAGCTGCTAGGAATTTGTGTAGGGAGTTATGTCTTAAATTATCAGCCAGATTTTAGCAAGACTGTTACCAATGTTGCTTTATGCCTGTGACCTTGGTTCAGCAAACAGACACTTGGGAATTGTCCTTGTGTGATTCATTTGCAGGGGCAACTAGTCAACCTTGAATTTGTTGTGAGGTTTTAAATCAGCTAATTGTATGTAGCTGTCTTGAACTGGGGAGATATGGCATTCTCCTATTTGAGCCTGAGAAAATTATATAAAATAGATTTCTAAGTTTCTATAGGCCTCATAGAACAATAGATATAGTTATGATGCACATCCTAGTATATTTTCAATTTATTAAAATTATACAGCTTAAAATGAATCATGTTTTGACAGTCCACAGATATAAGTGCTCATAAGATTGAGATGTGATCATGAGATTACATGCACATATTACATGAGAATGCACTGTAGTGATGAGATTCCTCAGCTATTTATGCACATGTGAAATTACAGACAAGAGCAAACAATGTCAGAGTATGTGGCCTTATAAGCCTTGCTAAAATGACATTCCTCCACCAGGGAATTATTCATCTGGTGGGTTGACACCTGAATTATTAATGGCCCTCTGTTGTATTATTCCATGGCCTGCAGCAGTTATTGGATGGGTGGGTAGATGGATAGCTGCATGAAAGGACATCTAATTGGGCAAATAGAATAAGTTGAATTATTTTTTTCTCAATTACCTATACCATTAAGAAATAAAAATTTCAAAAATACCTTTTAGCTAAGTGTGTTTGTTCACATTTGTAAGCAGACTGGCTGGGAGACTGAGGAAGAGTCTCTGTTTTCATTATAAAAAAATAACAAAACCAAAGACAGAAACTGCATATCCAAACGCAGCATACACCTTGTAGGTGTGGACTCAATATCCATTGTTCTCATACTGAATGAGAAGGAACAGGGTTCCAGATCATCTTTGCAGAATGCTCTGCCACATCTACAATGTCTCCATCATCTCATGATGATCTTGAAGTTCCTGGAACTCTGAACTGAGTAAAAATGCTCTGACCTAATGGTTTAAAACCTTCTTTTAATGATACAGTATTTCTTTTTATAATCCTCCATGACCTATGTCTTTTGAGGCAGCTAGGGAGTCAGTCATTTATTAGAATGATGCTCCATCTTAGGCATTACTTAAAAAGGTTTGAGATATAAATGTGCTGATTTATCTCCAATAACCCAGAGATCTGGGAATCTTTCTCATTGCCCTTGTCCAACTGAAATCTATCAAGTATTGTTCATTCATGTGTTTACCAAGTGCACTTGAGCTCTTTGGTAATTTTCTGTATTTTTGGAGACTTGTAAGTGCATAGTTGAGCATGAGGGTGAGTGACACAGCAAAAAAGACATGAATATAAATTATGGTGTCTCCATTTTCATAGTGAGTGAATAAAGTGTAAATGAAGTTTGCTTTCTTTGATATTTCTGTGATGTAGCTAAAGGAAGAATACAAACACCCTATACTCTAGCTTTCTAAATTTTTAACAGTGGATGAACAATCAAAGCCTCACTATCATAACCTGAAATGGAAGAAATCTATTTATCATGACAGTGAATGGTCATTGAGAGTCATACTTCTGATTTTTGCAAGTCTACTGGCCATTAGGGAGCCACTGTGTAAATCTTTAGAGACTCTCATGTCACTAGAGCTATGGAAATGGGTTTCTATTACCTGTTGAGAAAGGCATAAAGTAGTCACTTTTCTTGAAGTTTCCATTCTTATCTAGAAAGTGTCCAGGGTCAAATACCTCTGGGTTGGGGAATTCCTTGCTGTCATGCAGCACTGATGACAGTGATGTTATTATTGTTGTTCCCTATAACAACACACAGAGAGAAATCAAGTTGCAATGAAAGCATAGAGCTAAAACACATTTGGAAAATAACCTAGTTCACCTTCCACTCCATAGTAGGGGTTAAGAACAAAGGACAGCAGGGACATTTCAACACAGAGAGCAGGTAAGGAGCAGGAAGAAGGTTGAGGCCAGGCACAGATGTGGCTAAAGTGCCATCTAGTGACATTTCACATGAGTGCTTGGCCTAAAACTTCTCAATCTCTTCTTCCTTTCCTTCAGATTGGACTTGTGCTTCTCTGACCACTGGCTGCTCTAGCTCATCACTTCTGTGCACCCCTCATGTGAATCAGTTTCCAAGCAGAATTATTCATTGATTATTTTGAACAGAATAGGAGACCATTCATTAAGTAAAATAGGGAAGATTTGGAAAGATAATTACCACTCTTTTTTTTCTCATTTACAGAATCTCTCTATCTGTGTATCTGTATTTATATGACAGGAAAGTAAATGCAGGGCTATGTGCCAGAGTAGAGGTGTACAGTCTTGTATGTAATGTATTTATATAAATGCACAGGCACAAACACAGAAATACTTCTATGTATATGTGTCAGAAAAGCAAGATGAGGACTCTTTGGGAGAAGGAAAGGAAGTGTTGGAATAAGGAGGAGAGGGGAAAATAAAATTAAACAAAATAAGATCAAAGTAAGATGATCTGCTGACAGCTAAATCAATAAAACTTCTAGGGATATACAGAAATTGCTGGGAACAGGAGCTGACAAGCTTTCTTTAAATAGTACATAAACTAATCTCGAATCATTTCAAAGTTTCTAGCAATGTGCTCTACAAAGCTTTTACAAGGCTGAAACACATATTAATTTGCAGCTTAACTGAATATGTTTAAATTTATAAAGCTAAAAAGAACATTATTGGCATATGTAAATTGTGTGAAAATTAAGTTCTAGTGTCAATAGACATTGAAAGTATATTCATAACCACTTGTTTACACATTTCCCGTTACTGCTTCTCTGCTACAATGACAGAGTTTCTGAAGAGGCAGCACAATCCCCTTGGGCTAGAAAGTCTGAAATCTACCAGAACAATTATGACAAAGATCATTGGTTCCTTTCCTATTACTTCTGCTGAGATCAGTGGCTCCAGTCTGATCAAAGAAATCACTTTTCCTACTTGTCAGAAGGGAAAATCAGCTGTGAAGTCATGCTTATTTCTAGACCAGGTTGTTCCACAAAGGGAAATAAATGGGATAATCTGCTTGAGTGGACCCAAAGAGACCAGTCATATCATGATCCAGCAGCAGAGCGATGAAGGGATATAAGTTTAGTTGATGCAACACTTGCCTCAAACTAGGGTCTAAACACAAGGAAGCCATGAGAAGATATGTCACTCCTATCTTGTCCTTTGTCCTATTTACTATTTATTTGGGTCGAAGGACACGAACATAAACAAGTTATGTATATTAGCATAGACCTCAACAGTCTTAACTCAGGAGTGTCCTTTAGCCAAATCAGACTGCCAAACTCACCCATATACTAAGTCTGTTATCACACAACAAAGCCCAATGCCACTGGCAAATCTAGTTCCATCATCTCCACATGATATTAGTTATTGGAAACTTACCAATCTCTTTTTGCCCCCTACCCTGAAAAACTACAGAACTACCCAGTAGAGAGCAACTTCATCCTTTTTGGATGAAGGTATTGCTATAAAAATTCTGCATTTGTCATCTATAGTATCTGGAACTCAATCAGGATAGTTGGGGTCTTCAAAATGAACTAAGTGGCCACAGAATGAACTAAGTACAAACAGAACCACATCAGGGAACATTTTTAATTTAGTTTTAAGCCACCAGCTCAGTTTTAATATAAGAATTCTAAGAAGTTTGGAGGAGAAAAATTATGGACAGAAATTTCTTTACATAGAAATCATAAGCAATGTGTAGTAGAGAAAATTCAACATACATATGTATTGATAACATATACAGTGCTGTGGGATGTCTTTTTACATGCTGAGAATGTGTGTTACTTTTATTGGTTAATAAAGAATCTGTTTTGCTCTATGGCTAGAAAACTTACAGCTGGGTGGAAAATCCAAGAGAGATTTAGCAAGAAGAGGGCAGAGTCAGGGGAGGTGTGATCCAGCCACCCAAGAAGGAAGATGTGAAAGTACTGGTAAGCCAAGAAGCCACATATCAAGACATAGATTAATAGGAATGTGTTGAATTAAGTTGAGAAATCTAGCTAATATAAGCATTAGCCATACAGTTTGCAAATAATATAACCCTCTGAGTAATTTTTTCAATAATCAATTGAGGGACCACAGGTGGGAGAGATTCATCCAGATCACTGGTCAAGTCAGAACTGGAGAAAATTCCATCTACATATACAGACAGTGATTAAAGGGTAAACAATACACAGAACCATAAAATGGAAGCAGAGAACAATCTTGAAAATACTGTACAGACATTTGTGAATAAAATTCATCTCAAGGAAAAAAATCTGTGTTCCTGGGTCATGCTCATACATAATTGGCTCTACAATAAAGTATCTCTTATACCCTTAAATAAATCAGACTAAAAAATAACATCTGATATACACAACTATTAATGTATTTCCAAAACATCAAACTTGATAAAGATATATTGATGTTACAGTCCTTCATCCTAATCAGAAATGAGACAAGGGATGCCCACTGCAACCAAGTCTGTTCATCACTATGCTGCAATTCATCTAACTGAAGAGAAAAAAGAATAAAGCAATACGAAAAGTACATAGAAAAGTATTAGCCCACATAACAACTTCAAATTCCACATACATTTACAGATACCTGTTAGAAATAGTAAAATTCACATGTTTAGATAAAAATAAGTCCAACAGAAGGATTACATCAATTGTTTCCATTATGCAGATAGAATGAATAGTAGAGGCACTAGAGAAATAATAACAGATATTCACCACTCAGAAAACCTACAAAAAGATATTTACAGGTTACATTATTGGAAAGAAACATGACAGATAAATAAACATAACAAATAAATGATTGAATGACATAACCCTACTGATGATTTGAAAGAATTCAGGATATCAATTCTTTCCAATTTGAAGACTTTTTTTTCTCATAATGATAAAAATCTAGAAAAGACTTTTGGAAATTTGACAAAGTGTTTGAACATTCCAACAGAAATACCTAAGCTTTGCCAAACCGTATATGAAAGAAAGAGCAAATGTGGAAGTATTATTACCAGATGTATCTGTACCTGCTGTAGAGCTGTTCCCCTGATTGGGAAGCAGTATAAGCCTTCAGCAGCATTGGCTAACAGGGCCTTGAACCTCATTGTGATCTGGGAATATCAGGAGCACAGAGGTGCGGCAGAATGGAGACAAGCTTACCTTGGGGATAAGGTAGTTCCTGAATTTAATGTCACAGGTTACCATATGGGGCAGGTTGGTGGGGATGAGGTCAATGAATCTTTGGACCTCATGAATCATGGCATCTGTGTAGGGCATGTGGCTCCTGTCCTGCATGCAGGGGCTGCGGTTTCTGCCAACCACACGATCAATCTCTTCCTGGACTTTAGCTGGTTGGTCACAGAAAGAAATGGGGGAATAGGAGAAAAGTGACATATTGGCACAATGTCAGGCCATACACAGCATGATGTAGGTTTTGTAAAACAATTGAAAATGTGCATTTTTCATTCAGAGATAAAAGTATTTATACATATATTTATGGAGAAATGCAGTGCTGTGGATTTATATCACTATCTTATACAGATATCATGATATATCAGCATACACTTATTATATAGTATAATATAATGTAATATAATATGATACAGCCATAATTGCAGATAAAATATAAGTAATTAAAAGTATCAAACAAAACAGAATATAATTAGTCAACATGGTTTATTCTGTGGTAAAGAAGATTGGAACTCAAATACTAAATCTGTATCCAAAACAATATTCTTTTAAATTCACATTCTAAGATATGTGTATTTATGAATGTGTTGTGTTGCATATGTACAATTTTGAAAGGTTCTTAATTTTTATTACCACATGTAGTAATGAAGAAGTTCAACCTCTTCAGCAACTTATGAAATAGATTCACATTTATAAAATGACTGTTTCTTATATGCTTATATATGCACAACACTGACTTTCAGATATGGGAAATGAAATTTCAGTTACATTTACATCATCTACATAAACAAATACATGCTAAACTTACACATACATGTACACTTCCTGTTTCCCCTCACTTCATTAGCAATATCATATTGATATCTCATGAAACTGAAAATCTTCTGTATGGAAAAAGACATCATGAATAAGACAAAATGACAAACTATACAATGAGAAAAGATTTTACCCAATACATCCAATATAGGGCTAAGATCCAAAATATATAAGAAATTCAAAGAATGAGATAGCAAGAAAACAAATAACCCAAATAATAAATGGGGTACAGATCAAAGAAGAAAATCAAATGGCTGAGAAAAACTTTAAGAAACATAGAAAAATGTTCAAAAACCTTAGTCATCAGGGAAATTCAAATAAAACTACTTTGAAATTTCATTTTACTCCCATCAGAATGGTGAAGATCAGTTTTAAAAAAAGTGACAGATCATGCTGGTAATGATGTGGCACAAGGGGAACATTTATGCATTGTTGATGGGAGTGTAAACCTGTATAGCCACTACGGTTATCAGTGTGACAATACTTCAGGAAGATGGGAACCAATCTACCTCAAGATACAGCTATACTACTCTTGGGCATACCTAACAATTGTTTCATCTGATCATGGAAAGTCTTGCTCAACCATGTTCTGTTGTTTGGTTTTGTTCTTTTTGAGGGGGCCAGCTACCCAGCTACCAAATAAATTCACACACCAAGGCTTATTATTACTTATGAATGTCCAGGCTTGGCTTTGCTTAGTTACTTGCCAGCTTTTCTTTTTTCTTTTTTTTTGGGGGGGGGGGTTCGAGACATGGTTTCACTGTGTAGCTTTGTGCCTTTCCTGGAACTCACTTGGTAGCCCAGGCTGGCTTTGAACTCACAGAGATCTGCCTGCCTCTGCCTCCCGAGTGCTGGTATTAAAGGCATGCACCACCACCACCTAGTGAGCTTTTCTTAACCTTAAATTATCCCATCTATCTTTTGTCTACAGGATTTTTTTTCTATTCCTGTTTACCTTTCTTTGTTTCTTACTCCATGACTTGCTGTGTTACTGGGGAGCTGGCCCCTGGAGTCCTCTTCCTTCTCTGGCTCCTTGATTTATCACTCCTCCATCTCTTTTCTCACTCCTTATTATTATTTATCCTTTCTGCCTGCCAGTCTCTCCTATTTTTCTCTCCCGCCTCACTATTGGCCATTCATCTCTTTATTAGACCATCAAGTGTTTCAGACAGGCACAGTGACAAAGCTTCACAGAGTTAAACAAATGCAACATAAACGAAAGTGACACACCTTAAAATAATATTCTACTACAGTGTTCATTGCTCCTTTATTCATAATAGCCAGAAATTGGAAACAAAGTGTATATCCCTAAACAGAGGAATAGATTGTTTTTAAATATGGTACATTTATACAATGGAATATCACTCAGCCATTAAAAAAAGAATAATATCATGAAATTTTCAGGTAAATGAATGGAATTAAAAAAAAAAACTCACCCCGATGATGTAATCCAGAACCAGAAAGAGAAGTATGGTATGTATTTACTTATATGTCGATATTAGCTAATAAATTAATGATAACTAAGCTACAATCTGTAGAAACACAGAGGTTAAATATAAAGTAAGGGAATATGAAGGACAGATAGATCTTGTTAGGAAAGGGAGGTAGAATAGATAGTTATGGATATGTTGGGGGGAGGCTTGACTGGAGAGGGGAGCGGGGTGAGGGAGGGAATATAAGGAGAGACAGATAAAATTCAGGGCCATTTGAGTGATAGTATGGAATCTCAATATGGTACAAATTTTCTATATGAAACATATGACAGTGATCTAAATGAAATATCCAAGAGCCCCAACTGAACATCTCTTGTCACCAAATGAAACTGCCAACACCAGGGTTAGGTTGCGTCTTATTGAGTTGTTGGTCAAAGGAGCTTTGATGGACATCTCCAAACAACCCAGGCTGCAGCCAAGACAATAGATTGCTCTCCACAAACTGACAGCAAGGCCTCATTGCTGAAGCAACACCTATACAGCTCTGCAAACATGGAGAAGTCAAGCTGATGCCTACATAGAACCTTCATCCCTATGTTCCAGCATCTATGGTACTGGAATGTACTCTACATACTGTCAAAAGAGACATATAAACACCAACCCAGCCACGAACCCTTTCATTAACAATATTGCCTTGCCTGCAAGATATGCCAGGGCAATGGTGGCACAATACTTGTGGGTGTAACTAACCAAGAACTGATTTTACCTAAGGTTCACCCCATGAAATGAAAACTAGTCCTGAAACTTGTTTGGTGGCCAGTAATGGGAGTCTGCTAATCCAGAGACCTATGGTAAAAGCAAATATTTCTGTTGTAAAAACAAAAAAAAACCATTATCAACAAAACACAAAACAAAAATATAGCAATAAAATGACTCCTAATTACATTCTTCTATACTAATCCTTCAGTGCCTTGCTCAGCCATCTTTATCTTTATCTTGCAGCAGATGGCAACAAATATAGAAACCCTCAAATAGACAATATGCAGACAATGAGAGACCTTGAAGCACTTAGCACTAAATGGAATATCTCCATCAAATACCTCCCATCAGGGATCAGGAACCTCTGTGGAATCAGAGGCAGAAAGATTGTAAGAACAAGACAGGATGGAGGATACTAAGGAAAAAAGGCCCTGTAAAATCAAAATAAAGGATATATGAACTCACAGAGGCTGAGGCAGCATGCACAGGGCCTGCACAGGTCTACATCAGGTCTTTACATATATATTAAGGAATCCAGTTTAGTGTTTTTATGGGTTCTTTGATGTGCAAATGAATGGGTCTCTGTTTCTTGTGCCTTCTCTTGTGTTCTTTTGCTTTGTTTGTTTTGTCCAATTCTGATGTGTTATTTTTGTTATGTTGTATTATATTTATTACATTGTATTATATTATATACATTTTTTAGAAGCCTGCTTGTATTCTAATGAGAGGCAGAAAATGATATCTGGAGTGAGAGGTGGTGGGGAGGAACAGGACGAAGTAGAGGAGGAGAAGTCATAATCATGATATGTGAGAAAAATAGATGTTTAATAAAAGGGGAAAACAGTAGATTTGACTTTAACATTGTATTAAACCAATGTTTACTGATAGATTAATTGTAAATACATAAATATTATCCATTATCATGAAAATTATGATTATTTTCCATTATTAGCAGTCTTTTTGATAAATGGATGTATTTCATTTGTAATTTTGCATATCTTGTGTTAGAATTATACTGGAAACTTAAGTAAATATTTTAAAGTGCTGGGAATATATATTCATTTAAAAGGAGTATTAGACTCAAAATTGTTTCTCTTTCATCCCTCATTTTCTGTCAAACACCTATAGGAACCACATGGTAAATATGGAATTGGGAGCTTTCCAGACCTGGTATATAGCAAAATGTCTGACACACTTACCCTCCCACAAGAGGTATTCAGGCTCCTGGAGCCTATGTCTTCCTATGACTTTACTTCAGATAATAGCATGAAAAACATTCTCACAAATTTCATGAAGAAATGGAAAATTGGACAAAAATTATGGCTAACCTAGAGGTCTCATCTGCCTTTTATTTTAGAAACTCATCAGAAGCCAGCTGATCTTGAGAATCCTAGTGTAGTTTCAATAAGAATAGTTAACATGTGACCCAGGGATCTTCTTGAAGAGTTCCATGCTTCTATTCACTCCAGAAACTCCATGAATCTGTGTCTTGAATGGATGTTTAGAATCTATTCTGATTAATACATGGAAAATATTTTATATCAAGGTGGTAAAATATGGAGTGCTGATTTATTCCTTTTGTCTGGAGTATAGACCCTGGAACAAGGCACCGAAAGGTCTCTGAGAGCCCATTCCCTGTCAATCACCAATGTCTCAGGCAAAGGGCTTCTTATACTCAGTTTCTTTAAAGATTTTATTTTTCTGAAGGGGGTCACCTGCTGAATGGGAATAGGAAGGGATCCTCAGCAAGGTCACAATCTTAAACACAGCTTTGTTCTCTACTTAAACTTCTATTGCTTTGGAGCAGGAGTCTTCACTGGTCTGTAGATGTCGATCCACAGCTTGTCTTGCTACATGCATGTTGATCTAACATTTATGTTTCAATATCATCTTTTCCTGCTCTATATTTTTCTCATTCCTCATATTACTGGTTCCATAAATTGGTGAAGCCTCCTTGTCTGCTTATTGTTATCTCTTGCTATCCTGAAAATATAAATTTTGATTCACATTTGTGTTTTTATCATGTAGTATATGTTGGGCACAGGAGGAAGAATGTGCTTTGTACATGCTGAACCACTGAATCTGTTTTAAAGAATAATGTAAAAGAAAGTGCTATTCGTACAGAAGAAAAAAATCATTGTTCAACAAATTTAAAGAAATGGACTATTGATGTGATAAGATTTCTTCATCTGTATTTTATGTATTAATGGAAATTTTTTTCTGTAGAACCTAAATATTTTGAACACTTCTCAGAATGAACATTATCTCAGCCATACTCAGTACATTCTAGGCTTTCTCCACCCTAAAGTTAGCTTCATCAGAATGAGGAAAGGAAACTGAAAGGTTTTAGCTGATTTGAAGACAGGATTTTTGAAAATATAAGAACATGTATCCACAGGACAATGTATCCTGGCCACTCCTGTCATAATCTACCTTCCAGAGAACTCACACACTGACCAGAATTTGATTGCTTTTCCTACAGTCAGAGTCTGTTTCTCTTAGTCATGCTGTTCTTTACATCCAGTGAGGGACTGAGACTTCTCTAAGAATGGCACACAGACACTAGCAGAGTCTTTCCAGCATCTTATAGGCCTGCTATGGGTCACCACCTGAGTCCTCACCTGTGACATGTGGGTGCTTCAGCAGGAGCAGGAGAGCATACCTCAGCGTTGTGCTTGTTGTCTCTGTCCCAGCACCAAACAGATCATTCACTGTGTTTGTCAGATTTTCAAGTGTAAATTCCGATTGTTGATTGTTGTTTGCCTAAAAATAATTTGATGCAATAATTTGATAAATTGTTTACCAGCACATCTGATTACAATGGCTCTACAGTTTTATGCAAGTTTATGTATTTGTTACTAAAAGTATAAAATTTAAAATAAAAAAAAATAGCTCCCTTTCCAAATGGTTATAGAAGTTTACTGAGTCGTGTAGTCTTGGGGTCTAGTTAATTTGACATGAACATTTATTTAATTGCAAGTTTTTTATAATAAGACTTCTACAGATTATTTGTTTTATATTGTTGCCAATAAAGATCCTGGAACGTAGAGGAGAAATTAACATATAATTTCAAAGATTATGGCACAGATTTTTATAATTTTTGATATCACCCTGGTTCCTTACTAGCCTAACTCTTGCAATTATGTGATTAAGTGTGTATAGTTTTGTACTTTTATGCCCTAAAAACATAAGCAAAACATTTTGTTAATTAATTATATTCTCCCATCAAAACCATATGAAGAAGAATGTGTTATGTCTAATCTTCAGATATGCAGATTCATACATAAAAATGAGAGTCTGTGTCTCCATATGGTAAAGAACAGTGGAGGACATTTGACTCTGTCTCTGGGAATTCTCTATTAAACTAAGAGGGGTTTGTAATGAGATTCTTTGTCCTTGTGTTAAATAAACCCATTCTTTCTTAGTGCATTAATAACTTGATTCCCTCTTACTTTTAAAAAGTAATATATCTTTACATGTGTAGCCCACATTTCTTATCCATTCATCCATCAATTGATGACTTCTATATTGATTATCTGAGAGATACAGTAAGAGAAAAACATGAACGTGCAGGTGCCTTTTCCATATGCTGATATACTTTGAATATAAGCTCAGAAGTAAAGTACTTGCATCCTATGATAGAGAAAGAGATTCTAGAGGACCCATGGCATGGTTTTACACAATGGCTCTAATAATCGACATTCTCATTAACTTTATATTAGTGTCCATCTCATTATATGATTACTAGCAGTTTTTTTTCTTTGAAAAAGTTCCACAGTTAACAATTGTAGCATTAAATCTCATTGTGATATTATTTGTCCTTCCTGATGGAAAAT